TTTTTGTTCTTTTATTCTTTAGTTTTTTTTTGTGCTTTTTTCTTTTTCCTTTCTTTTCTGTTTTTTTTTTTCTCCTTTTGTTTTTCTTTCATTATTTGTTTTTTCTTTCGTCTCTTCTTTTGGCTTTTTTCTTTTTTTTTCTGTTTTTGCTTTATTTTTTTTCTTTATAAAACTAACAAATTTTTTTTTCTTTAGCTTTAATTTCAGAATCATCACATCATTATTGGAATCGCTTTGCCGTTGTTGGTGTCCTTCTTGGTGGTGAAGTTTTGTCATTGGTGTCATCATCTTTATCGTTGGTATCATCTTCCTTGATGGTGAAGTTTCGTCGTTAGTGTTATTACCGTTGGTGAAGTTTTCATCATTGATGTCGTCATCTTTATAGTGAAGATTTGTTCGTTGGTAATGTCGTTGGTGTCGTCGTCTTTGTGGTGAAGTTTTGTCATAGTGAAATTAAACTTTTTGATATAAAGCAGGTGGTTTGGTATTTTTTTTCATTATATAATGATGTTCATTATGCAACAATATTCATTATACAATGATATTTGTTATACAACGATATTCATTATATGATGATATTTATTGCATAATAATTTTTGTAAAAAAATTTTTTTTTTATATAAATTAAATAGGTGAAAATAAAAAATTTGGTTTTTTTTTAATAAAGTTATATATTGCATGTAATCAATCTTTTTTATATGTTATTTTTAATAAAATAAGAATAAAGTTATTAATAAAATAGAGTTTTAAGCTATAAAATTTATATGTAGTAAATGTTTATAAAAAATTAATAAATTTAGTTTAATTCAAAATAATTTGAAACATTTCAAAATATTCTAGTAAATTTTATTGTAAAAAATTTTAGTTTATTATATTTTTTTATTTAAAATATTTTGATATATTTTGAATTAGAAACTCAAAATATTTCAAATTGTTTTGAATTGTTTCGAATTGTTTTGAATTGTTTTGAATTGTTTTGAATTGTTTCGAATTATTTTGAAATATTTTAAATTAGTTTAAAATTATTTTGAAATATATTGCATAATATTTCACAATATTTTTGTATAATATTCTGTAATTGATTATTGCGCAATATTGCGCATCAATCGTAATTCTTACACAATATTATGGGCCATAATATTTTATATAAAATTACGTTTATATATTTTGCTAATGTAGAATAGGAAAAATCAACCTGATTATATCTTTGTCTAATCATTTATTCAATATTTTACCACTTCAGAGAAATGGTATAAGTGATAGATTAATCTTAATGTATTAAAACAATCATTAAATAAATATATAGATTTATATGCATTCAAATTCAAAAAATTATTATGCAAAGTAGATTTTCAAGAAAGGTTATTCTCTTCATATATTATTCGAATATTTTTAGAAAATCTTAAGGCTAAGATAGCTACTTGGTTAAGTATTGCTGAACCTGAAAATTTGGATATTGTAATTCAAAGCATATATAAAATTAAAGCAGAAGAATATTATAATAAAAAAGATAAAAAGAACAAAACTCAAAGTAGTAATATTGTACAGTTATTTTAACAAGTATAGGTATTAACTACTAGATATGAAAGATTGACAAATACAATAGTTATCTATATCGAAGCAAGGCCTTGACCCAATAATAATTATAATAACTATGCTTGTATAATTTGTTACAAGTGTAGAGAAACTGATCATATATATATGCAAATTTATAGAATTAGATCTTATAAATAGTTCACAAAATATTTATTGATTTGCAAAAAGTTATATACTAATTGGGTATAAATAAAAATTGTATCTCAAATCATATGTCAAATTCATTGATTTATTTAAAAAATATAATAAAGTATAAGTAAAACCAATAAACCTAATTATAAACCAATAAAAAAATAGAAATTAGTAAAGAGTAATTAAACTAGCACTGTAAGTATTTTTTACTTTTTTTTTTTTTTTTCTGTTATCAACAGCCACGCCGGTATCTTTTATTAGATCAAAGCATATATATATATATATATAACTACATTGAGAAAATAAATATGATGCAGATCTGCAAAGATCTGTTACCTTGCTAAAAAATGACAAATTTTACGATATTTCGTGAACCAGTAAATAAAACTTGACGATTTTGGTACCATTCGATTCATCTCAATGAGACGGGTCGAATGATACCAAAATCGTTAAGTTTTGATACTAGTTCACAAGATAATTGTATTTAAGTAATTTTTATAAACACTTACATAACTCGCTACCTAGTGATCCAAATTTAATGATTTTGATACCATTCGATTCCTCTTGATAAGATGGTTCAAAAAGTATTAAAAATGCTAAAATCAAATTATTGGGTGGCGAGATATTCACAAAAAAACATTTTGCAACACAGTTCTGCGCAGAACTTTAAAATTTGTTTTTAAAGTTCTGCGCAGAACTGCGCTGCAAAATGTTTTTTGTGAATATCTCACTACTTAATAATTTAATTTTAGCATTTTTAATACCATTTGAACTGTCACATCGAGAGGAATCGAATGGTACCAAAATCGTTAAATTCAGACTACTGGGTGGCGAGTTATGTAGGTATTTATAAAAATCACTTAATTGGCAAATCACGAGTCATCTGAACAAATATTTTTTTTTATATATAAATTTTACTATAAGCCTGAATATAGAGCATGCCTATCTAAAACTTTTTTTTTTACTAAATAAATTACTCTTGGGCTTGTAACAAAAGTTGTAAAGCTTATCAAAAAATATCTAATAGTAGTAAAAACATTAAAATCAGCTTGGTAGTTTTTGAGAAATCTTTAAAAAACCTTTTTTTTATATATAAAATTTCTTTAAAAAAAATCTATTTTTTTTAAAGAAATTTTATATGTAAAAAAGAAGTTTTTTAAAGATTTTTCAAGAACTACCAAGCTGATTTTAATGTTTTTACTACTATTAGATATTTCTTGATAAGCTTTATAACTTTTGTTACAAGCCCAAGAGTGATTTATTTAGTAAAAAAAAAGTTTTAGATAGGTGCGCTTCACATTTGAGCTTATAGTAAAATTTATATATAAAAAAAAATATTTGTTTAGATGACTCGTGATTTGCCAATTAAATACAATTATCTTATGAACTAGTAATCAAAACTCGATGATTTTAGTATCATTCGATTCATTTCATTGAGACAAATCGAATAATACCAAAATCATTGAGTTTTGATTACTGGTTCACGAGATATCGTAAAATTTGTTATTTTTAGCAGGATAGCAGGTCTTTGCAGATCTGCACCATATTTATTTTCCTAATGTATCTAAGCTATAGATTTGACATCATTCAGCTTTTCTTGTAGGCACCCAAGTGCAGTCTGCCACACTGATTAAAGCAAATGCCTATCCTAAGGGCTATACCAAGTTAGCTAGTAAAACTATAGCAAGATAGTTTCAAATCGAAAGAATTTTTAATTTTTGGTTAGCCAATTCCTCTTTCTAAACTATTTTTTTTATTAGCTAAACTATCCTCTTTTTTACAACAAAAAATTACAGTAAATCTAATTTTCTAATAAAAGGCATATCATTTATCACATAATATTTTTTATTTAGTAGCCACCTCTATCCAAGTATAGTGTAATCACCCTAACTTGATTCTGATTGTCTGATTTAATTAATTATTAAAAATCTTCTTAATATTTTTAAAATTGAATAACTTTTGATCTACTAGTCTGATTTGAATGATTTAACTGTCAAAATGTTCATCTTGATGAGACGATTCTAATAAGTTCAAAATCGCTAAAATCTAATTACAGAATCCTGAGATTGTTAAGATTTTTTGTACTATTTCATATATAATAAAATTAATTTTATTATATACTAAATAGTATAAGAAACTTTAACGATCTCAGAATCCTGTAATTGGATTTTAGTAATTTTGAACTCATTAGAATCGTCTTATCAAGACAAACATTTTGATAGTTAAATAATCCAAATCGAACTAGTAGATCAAAAATTATTTAATATTAAAGATTTATTAAAATATATATATATAATTTATATATTATATTTGATTATAGTGTGGTGACTTAGTGAAGTGGTAAAGTTGTCGCACCCAAGTGGTTGAGTACAAGTTCAATTCCCACTGGAGACAAAAATTAAATTTCAAAAAATGGATTTGACAACTATCATCATGGCTAGGAAAACTCGAGACCCTGTAACTGTGATCATACCAATTTATTGGAACTGGAAGATCTTGAGGGCATTTGTGTGATACAGGAATTACATGAATAGATCTTCGGATTGTAAAAAGCCACAAGGCTAATACGGCGGTGGGGTGCTCGCTTGGCAAGACCTGAGTAGAAAGGTAGTACAGATCTTCGACGGTACTATGTAAAGAATTGTTACTGAGAGAACTGGTGAAACTGAACAGGACCAAAGTGTTCGGCAAGTCACTCTACTAACCAGACTACTAGAAGAGTAACTAGAGGAAAAAGACCCAACCATGGGGACCAGGTGCAGGTCACAGCCCTTCCAGGCTATCTGGATTGGTAGTTTGGGATTGTTGGAGAAAATCAGTAATAGTCTGTAAAGTATATACTGGGGTTTGGGTAAACTCTACAAGGGCAGAAGTAGATAATAGTAGCGGTCTCAGCTCGCAAATACTTGTTTTCGGACTCGGCATAAGTTACTAAAACCTAGGCTAGCCAGATTGTGGGTATGGAAAGCTCTAGCAAGTTTACCTCGAGGACAAAGAGCTTACTAGTTGAGCCTACTTTAAAGTCCTAAGTCAGGATTCTTAAAGGTTATACCCTAATTCGGTTAATGAAAAGATTGATTTACATAAGGCGCAGAGAGTTTAAATAGATAACCTCTAGTTGGGTTGCAGGTATAGTATCTAGTGTAGAACTTAGTAATAAGCGGACTACTTAAATAGGCAATCAAAGGTTGTATATATGGCTAGTATGTATCCTTCAAAAATATATATACTATATGGGCGCCGAGAGGAGCTTAACGTATAGTAAAAGTTAATCAATAACTGAATAAAGAGACCTGACCAAGAGGTCACCTTAATACCAAAAAAAAAAATTATATTTGATTATATACTATATTATATATATATATATACATGATCTCTTGTCTGACTATATATCCATGGTATAAATTATGTGATTTCTAGTACTCCTCTAAATACTTCTACTTCTTTTTTAACCAAGAGGTTATTATCAAGATTTTCATATATATTTATATTTTCTTTTTCTTTTCTTTCAATTCAACCTGTTTTTTCTAATTGGGGATCTAGCTTTAAGGAATCTTCTTATATCTTTTTTTTTTATTCTTTTCTTCCTGGCTCATAGCTCTGGATTTAGTTTTTTTTTTCAAAAGCTTGATCTACAAATCATATTTAAGGATATTTTTCGATAAACTTCTTTTTCTTTTAGATAATTTAGGTCTTCTTTAATTTTTCTTCTTTTGTATTCTTGGTTGCTTTGCTCAGAGCTCTTTCTTTTATATCTTGAGTATAAAGACCTTTGTCTTTTTTTTTAGTTCCTTTCTTTTTTCTCTCTTTCTTACTAGATTTTGACCTTTCTTTCAGAAATTTTTCTTGTATTTCAATAAAGTTTTTAGGGTCTCTAAAGATTTCTACAAAGATCTTTTCTACTACTTTAGTATCAAATTCTTCTTTTTCTTATTTTTCCAGTTCTTGGCTCTTTTCGCTCTAACTGCTAGTATCTTTTGATTTAAGTTTATATCAATGTTCTACTGGGATCTTGTATATTGAATCCATTTTACAAGCAAGTCTTTTTTCTTCTTTTTCTATGTTTTACTATTAATCTAAGAATCTTTAATACTTGCTTAATATATTGCCTCTATTAACCAGTCTACCGGTATTGCTAAATAGATTCTTGGCCTTGATTCTTCTTAGATCTTGATTAATATTTTTGCTTCTGTAAAATCTAGGATATCTTGTCTCTTGCTTTTCTTTTCTTTTTCTATTCTAAATTTCTTTTCTTTTCTAGTTTGGTTTACTGCAGCAATTTCAATGAAAACTTTAAATTGTATCACTAAAGTTTTTAATGCTTTTTTGTTAACCTGCCTTTGTCAAATTTTTTTGTTTTTTATAATAATAGTCGACCCACATATGGTGCAGAGGGTTTAAATAGATAACTCCTTAGTTGGGTTATAGGTATGGTATTTAGTGTAGAACTTAGTAATAAGCGGACTACTTAAATAGGCAATCAAAAGTTGTACGTGTGGCTAGTTTGTACTCTCCAAAATATGTATACTGTACGGGCATCGTAAGAGGCTTAGCGTACGGTAAAACTTGACTAATAACTGAATAAAGAGAATTGACCAAGAGGTTACCTTAAAACCAAAAAAAAAAAAAAAAAAAATTTTTTGTTTTTGAAGTCTTTTGCTCCAGTCTAGTTCTAACTTTGACTTTATTTCAGCAGCTTGTTTTTGCTAAACTTGCATCTTTTCTTTTTCTTTTTTGGCTTTTTTCTTTATCAACTGTTGATTTGTTATAGTTATTTTGACCGATTTTTTGAATTGATATAGTATTAATTTTAGGCTGTTTTATTATAC